ATGTTTTGCTCACTGGCAATTGTAGCTATATATTGTCATTTCATTAGCCAGAATAACATTTTAGCTTGTGTTCTTTTACAAATTTTCATCCTCTGATCTTCATTGAATATTATAAGAATGAAAAATTCACCGGCATGGCATAGGGGCTTCATTTAAAATAGTCTATATCTGCATGAAATCCAACCATGCACACATTAGCAAACACTGTCAAAAAAGTTTTACGTTCATCTGAAAAAAGACAAAATACAAAATTGATTGAAACAACACGTTTTCATGAGCATGTGATCTCTACAAGTGTTCATGGTCCTGTTTAGGTGAGAGTGAGTAACCAAAAAAACATAGGCTCCATTCATGATTCCGTCACAAACCAGGAATACGTCTGGAAAGATGCAATTACAGCTTCCCAGGTTGAGTTTTCTTCATCTAAATGTCATTGTAGTGTTCCATTATGTTCGGCTAATCAACAGTTAACAGTCATATCTCAGTTTTCATCATTTCCCCACTGACGCACAACTCCGAGCGCACTGGGTACATGCGATTAGAAGAGATGAGGCGCCAAATTCCAGATGATTCCAAACAGCACATACGTATACAGTTTTCATTTTACCATTGATTACATTTACTTCAATGGGTTTTATCACAGTCGGTTTTAATAGATCCATGTTAGGCGAGCCCATTACCGGGAACTACACTGGAAGTTGTAATCACATCTTTCTAAACATCTTCCTGGTTTGTGATATAAACATGAATAGAACCTATATGACCTCCCCCTGCTCCTCTCCAGCCAACCACAGCTTAGCTCAACCACGCCTTCAATTATCCCAGAAGTCTTATACAGCCTATCCTGACAAAACCGTCTGAGTCCGCTCTCTCGATTATTAACCTTAATATTCTGAAGAATTTATTTTTGTATTTAGTAACATATCTCTTCATGTGACTCTTGTCTCTCTTCAGAAATGACAGAAACCTTTGAACAGTGTTGTTACAAAGGTAAGACTTTGACCTCAGTGATAAATGATAAAAGCTCACACAATCAATGACTCCATTAGTGACATGCTGCTACCAGAGCTGTCGGAGAGCACCGGGATGGATGGACCTGGTGCATTTTGGGTAATGGCATGTGCACGGACATGCTTCACCAATGAGCATGCTGACAGGAATACAATACAGCTGTGTCCACATTAGAAGGCTTTTCCATCCATTTGTAATAATTAATGCAACATACGCCCTTTAAGTTGATTAGCATGCTAAGACAAATACTGTAGATCCACGTTCCCAAATCAGATGAGGTGAACACAGGTGAACTGAAGTACTTCTGGGGTTATTTTGTTCTGAACATGAAAATTAAAAAATCCAATTACAAAAAGAAAGAAAAACAAGTATCATAAAATGTTTTGGTTTGTGAAATTGAGGAAAAAACACAATCATAGTATTAGAGTAAAAATAACAAGATAAGCGAAACGGACTATTGGTTTAAATTCTATTGATACCATTCTGTTATTATTAGCAAAATCAGTTTTAGTTGTACACATGAAAACATTTGATTGTGTTAACAAAAACAGAACTGCATCGATGTCCACCAAGGGCAGACTGAGGTGACCTTCCAGTGTCCAGCCCTTTAGTGCAGACCACTGCACTGGTCTGTAATGATCACGGAGTCTGGATTAATGACTCTATAAATGGTACTAGACAACATGAATCACAATTTACATTCATGACTGTGGGCCTGGGTCTTAAATAAAAGTTTTCCCCCCTGACACTTTCCTGCTGTTGTTTTATCAGATGCTGGTCAACTGTTGTTGTTGTTGTTGTTGTTGAATGATTTGAACTGGGTTTATTTATTTTTTTATGTGGCAGAAGACCTTCCAGAGGAAACACTTAAAAACTGAGGGAATGAACCATTTAATCACCAACCAAAACATCAGAGCGGAGTAATTCATATACAAATATGTAAAACACAAACAAAACAATAAACATTTATGGATTTTGGATGTTCACCTATTCATTGTTTTCTGTTGTGACATATGTAATCATTGAGAGAGAGACAAAAAGAGAGAAAGACACTTGCAGATACAGTTGCTGTTGCTCCAATATTTGCTTCTCAGTCGCCTTTTGTGTCTCAGTCAAAGGTCTCAGTGCATTTTAACAGAAGGACTGGTCAGATAGATCCTGTGGAAGAGCCAAAAGTGTCCCTCCTCTGTGTCCTGCTGCACCACATCAACCTGCAGGGGACGCCAGGTGAACGCAACAGGAAAGGCCTCCTTTTTATTCCGCTCTGATGTTTCAGTTGGCGATGAAATGGTTCATTCCCTCAAAGTGTTTCCTCTAGAAGATTTTCTGCCACATTAAAAAAATTAAATAAACCCTGAGTCTGCAACCCAACAACAGGATAAAAAAAAACAGCCAAAAAAACAAAAACAAACTAATTAAAAAAAAAAAAAACACTTGTGTAACTACTTACTTTGTGTTTATGTTTATGTTTTTATTCAAGGTAGCAAACTATTAAACCACACTTACAGATAACTAGGCAAATATTCAAACTAAACTGGACAAACGTAAGTGAAAACAAAAGCAGTTTTCCAGCATCAATAATCTTTCTGCTTGTACCTTTGCAATCATGAGTCCATTCTCGCCTGTGAGTGGCTGTTCTCCCTGTGTGGTCTCGCTCTGGTTGGTTAATTCCCCAGGTGCTGCTGAAAGTAAATAAGCCTTAGCTGCTGTGTTGCTTTCATCTGACGTTTATTAATGAGCCAATCAATTTCTGTTTGTATCCTCCTCTCAAGTGTATTCCCAGCCTGGTCACTTTTAACAAATTGGCTGACCCTGGGTTGACTGTGCACTGCTGCAATGTTTCAGTATTGTTTCAGTGACCAGGCCTGTGGCAGTTAAATGGCTTGTTAAATAAAATCTGTCAGCCCTTAGCTATAAACCGTAGCTCATGTGCTGACGTACCACTTCGCTCTCATTATTGCCAGGGTTTGATTGACAGCACCCAAACTGTGAGAACAAGTCGGATACTGTAGGCACAGTAGCTATGATAGTTCATAAAAGATAGGTTTAAGTTAATCTAATTCCATAACATAAGAATTTCTTTCTTATGCTATTAGACTTTCGTTAAAAATACTGAAGGATGAAATCAAGCAAATTCTATCCTGGTCAACCTGGGTAATATTTTCACATAATTAAATATTTCAGAAGTTGTCTTTTATTTATTTTCATTTTGTTTATTTTTATTTTACCTTATAGCCCTTTCTTCTTTCCAGTTCCAGATATTTGTGGCAGTGGTGTGAAAGTAAATCTCTAAAGAAATTGGAACTGAATCAAAGCATCGCCATCTAGTGGTACAGGATATACATTGCACCTGAAACAGTACAAAACAAAGTAATACACATAGTACTTTGTGTGTGGTGTTGAACACAGTTTTATTATGGAAGAACAGAAAGTGCAACTATGAAGATGTCAAACACCTCACAGACAGACTCGTTCATATAAAACATGCCAATAGACTGCTGTGCTAGGGAAAAAAATAATAAAACGTTCTGAATGAACCGTCTGACAGTGGGTGACAGGGTGAAATGTGTTACCTGTGTACTAGTGGGACTGTGTGAATCAGTGGCAGAAGTTGCTTTATTTTTGCAGCGTCTACAGGCACTGTCGCATCACCACCTTGAAATGTGTTGAGTGGGTTATTAAGATGCTTTCAAAGTGTAACTGAGAATAAAAGCACAAGTTCACTTCTCCTGTCAACTGAGTATTATGTCCAGTCAGTACGTTTTTGCTGCCATCTAGTGCCTAAATTGCAACACTGCAGTTTCACCCTTTTACGAACATCTATAGTGGTACCTTTATTGTCAAAGGAATGAAAATGTTCCTATTGTATTGAAATCTTTACATCTGCATAAAATAAAATGAAAGCTGCTGATGCTGCTCCATCAGTCTATATGGGTATATGAGTAGAACAGCACAACTCTTCACTTGAGACTCATGTGGATGATTGAACTGGGGACAATATTTAACACAGTACACCTTTATGATGCCCTATTTGCATGTTAAATTTGGTGTGCAGTTCAGAACATATTTTTTCATGAACAAAAATGTACGGCTGCAGCCATTGTCTTAGAAGCACCTGGTAACAGCGACCTTTACTTTTCTCTTCATAGGTGGTGAATAAATAAAGATCATGCCATGCAAGACTCTGGGAATTTTGTATATTATATATGAAGCTGACATGCTTCATATTTACTGACAAAGCTGTATTTGTATATTTTTGATTTTAAGAACTACGCGCCCCATCCACACAAGAGAAAGGGAAAACTAGCCTTTTGAGAATGAGAGCACACTGACCCCTGGTCCCTAAGGTCTCAGCTCCTACAAGACAGAGACAGTAAATCAGGGGACAACTGAACTAGGGAATTTACAGTATAGATATTTTAAAATGCAACCAATTCAAACATGTTGAGTGTTGAGAATGTTCCCTTTTAAAACTGTGAAACATTGCTTTGCATGTTCTAATAATGGAGCCCACAAATGACACAGAACAATAACTTGACTCAGATCTGACTAGATATTGTACAGCTGCAAAGGCTAAAATTAATGTCAAAAAGATTAAGAGCTTAAAAAGCAAAAAACACGCACTGCAAATCTTTAAAGGGAGAGTAAGTTAAGAAATTAGTTTAACAGTCATTTAGAACAAATGCTCTGACAATATTAGCCTATGTCTGAGGCTCTGCTTGTAGAAAAGAATGTCATTTGCATAAAAGTCAATGTCTCTATATTGAATGACATTTTCAGATTCTTTTTCCTTTTTAAACAATATCCATATTCAGCAAAAAGATTCTACATCTCTTTTACTACAAAGATGTTTTATGTAATATTTTATTACCCTTGAAGACATCTTTGGACCCTTTTAGAAAGTAATGTTGCTTAAATTCTGCATCTCCTTCTACTGGCCAGGCATGCATGCCAAGATTTTTTTTTTTTATAAATAATGTTGTGGTTATTCCAGATCAAACTTATTTGTAGACGACAGAGAGCACCCTCAAAAGACTTATATGACTGCTCTGGCCTTTGGCACCAACAAGTGTGACCAATCTATCATGAATGTTAAGAGACAATCAGAAGACAGCGTGTCCACTCATATGAGAGTGGACCTACTTCAGGCCGGGCCACCCCCTCTCCCCACAGGACACCTCCCCGGTGAAGGACAATGGGGAGGGAGCATACAGGTCAGAGTCTGTGTCTGACTCTCCCTCTGCGATGAAGGGCCTTACTCTGGCACACAGGGAGTGTCCGGGCATGCCATCTGGCCCCACTGCGCCCAGAGAGCCCGTGAAGAATGATGGTCCAAAAAAGTCCTCCTTGGCCTGGGAGATGCTGAAGCCACTGAAGGAGCGCTCCAGTTCCTCATGGTCCACAGAAGGGATGGATAGGGACGTGTCACTCTCTGCAGCAGTGGGATCCTGCTGGCACTGCTGCCTCCTGTGGCGCCTCCTGCTGTGGGAGCCACTGTCCCGGCTGCTGCCTGGTCCAGAGGCTGGGGGAGGGGGCAGGCGGAACAGGGGAGGGGACTGGTCTGCCACAGGGGAGGGCGTGTTGGCTACACTGCTGTTCCAGGCCGGCTGGCTCAGGGGGTGTTGCAACTGGTGCTGCCATGAGGTGGAGGGACGACTGCACACTGAAGGGGTGCCCACCGAGCGGGACACAGGGCGTCCCAGCAGAGGGTCCTTCTTCTCCAGAGAGCAGTCAGAGCACATGACCTCCATTGCAGAGTAAGTCTTTAATTCCATCTCCTCCTTCACCTGGCCCTGGCTCTCCATGTCCATGTCCTCTTTGTCCTCCTTTTCCTCCTTGGTGTGGTCAGGACTGTGGTATGGTGGAGCAGGGTACGACTCCTTAGAGTTGAAGAAGGCTTCAGTCTCAGAGCGTGGGATGCCCATCCGCTGTATGTACACATTCACCAGAAAGTCCAGTTTCCGGTCCATGCACACAACCTGGAAGCACAAGTGAGAGACATAACAACCATGGACAGCTTCATGGATCTCATAGAAGTTCACATTTTTATACTGTATGTGCACAAGACAAACTTTAGCTTCTAGTCTATCATGTGGTGTTCCTGAGATGACTGGTTATCAGAAAACATATTTCAATATTGCTTTTCCCAGAATTTTGAATAGAACATGGACCTTGTGTTACACTTTTGTAAACTGGAGTTCACATCAAACAAACATGGGCTGTCTCGAAGTGTGAAAGGTGCAATACAGATAAGTTCAACTGTGCTTAAGATACCTGTTTTTCCACTTTGACCAGACGTCCCATCATGCTCTGGTCCTCGGCGGTATCTGCTTCAGGCTTAGGCCCTTTACCAACAATCTGGTCAACTCTACCATTCAGAAAAATAATGCATGATTTTAGAGTAAGCCAGACAATGAGGATTCCTAAACAGGGCTAAGATGGGGCAACACTCTAGAGTGACTTTTAAAAATGGACATCACAAAATAAGTGATGAGATGTCAGAAGCTACTGATGGACACACGACGGATGGATCACTGGAATAGAGCTGGGAGCATTTCTTGGGCAGTCATTTTGGATATGAATGAAACATGCATATGGTGAGGAGAAGTAATCACTCAAGTGATGTATGAAGAAGAGTCTAGGGCCAAAATGCAACACTGGGCATGCTTTAGTCATGCTTCATCTCCATTGCATCCTGAGACTAGGGGAGCTCTCTGTCTGTTTGAGAGCAGACCTAGTACTGTCTGACCCCTGTTGAATGACGCCACAGGACATGGCTCACTAAACGTGATAGAGGCACATTTTAGCAGCTATTGTGTTGTCAGATGTGGTAAGAAGTAAAATACAGAGAAAGAAAAACATAGATAGATGATAGCTATATATAGACAGGTAGACAGAAAGATAGATAGACAATAAATAGATAAATAGATGGATAAATAAAAAAGAAAGATATAGATAACAGTAGATAGATACTGCATATATTATCAATCTATCTAGAAAATAGATAGATGGTAAATATATGATGAGCTACACAAAGAAAAATAAATGATTGACAATTATTTAAACTAATTTAACCCAACAAAAATATGTGTGCCCTAATGATGATTTTCTTCAAACAAAACTGTAAAGAAGAAATACATTTGCACCATAAATTTGATTTCATACCATACAACGTGTCAGTGAGATATGTCAGGTGGCCTAGACTCAAAAGGGGTCCAGAATGAGAACGTAACATAAGGCTCAGTAGTGAGACTACAGGTGCAGTCTAGGGACCTAACCTAGGACCTTCTGTGGACTTCTTATGGCGAGGTGTTGATGGGGGAGGGGGCCCCACAATCATATCTATCCTGGCAAGGCACACAGAGACGATATGAGTGCAATGTAATGTGAAGCAACGGGGAGTCACAACAGCTATGGGAACAAGGTCAATATATTCCACATACACACAAGACATAAACACAGGTTCATGTGACAGTCCACTGCTGGAATATATTTAGACTGTGTTAGAGCTACAGTGAGTCAGAGTGTGGAAGGTGTGGGCAGAAGAATTTATAAATGTGTGATTATTAACAGTGTTATCACTACCTACTAAAATGGATCTGTGAGACATTCCAGCTGAAAGTGAAGTTTAAATTTCTATAGAAAGGCAAAGCCACAATCCCAGCAAAAAAACAAATGGGACCCATTTCATTGCTTTGGCAAATGTCCAGCTTTGAGCTTTGGAGATGTAGACAGACTAATAATAAAAGTTTACTCAAAAGTGTGTGAATGAAACAAAACACAACTCAGGTATGTTTTTGATGAGCTAACAACATGCTAACGTGGTTTAAAACTAAGAAGAATAAATTTTGTGTAATATAGGACCTTTAAGTAGAGCAATATTGTCTGCTGACCATGTGTATTAATCCAGAAATGGGACCAAGGTCTTTTTACAGGTGTGACTTAGCCTCTCCATTAGGAGTAATGTGACTGGTCTGAAAGAGAACTCTGAATACAACACATGTGGCACACAGATGACTCAGGCAGATCTCAGCATGTGTGTATCCAGACACAGCACAAGTCACTACTATCAGCAGCACTATCATTCAGAGAGAGACATCTTTCTGTGGACATTAGAGGAAACAGTTCAGTAAATATTGTTATATGAAAGAGGACATGGTGCACTTGCCTGGACTGCAGGTTCTTGATGCGGGACAACATGTCCAGGTGCCCAGCGGAGTATTGCTCAATCACATCCATCACATCATATGGACGCAGGCTCTCTTTGAACCTTCGCTTGGACACTAGAAACTTCATAACACTAACCACAACAACAACAATAATGACGCATTAGTTCATTACATGTTTTTTCAAACATTCATTGCTGCTTTACAATATCATGCATCATCGCTTCACTCCTCATTCTGTTGCACAGTTGCACTGGGTTGACAGCCAGGCAGTCAGTTGGCGCTTACAGCCCCCAAAACTACCACCACTCACATGAACCAATTTGCTTAACATGTTCTAGAGGAACACACATTTTATTTTAGATGCTTATGCATGGGGAAGTGTTAGTGTTTTTGACAATTTCATGACTCTGAATGATTGTATAATTGAATATACAAGAGTATATTGTATTGTACCTTAACATATGCTGTTGTTATCATTGATAATGATATGAGTACACCTTGGACCAAGAGGGGCACAAGAGAGGTAGGATACAAAACGTTTTTAAACTTCCTATTCTACTCTTTCTAAAATATTAACTTTTTTTTCCCCCACAATTAATATTATGAAGTGAATGTTTCTTTATATACATACATGTTAGTTTATGATTTATCTGGCTATATTGGTCTGTATAATACCAGAGAAAGTCATTTTTGTTCTTTTGTGAGTGCAAGTATAATTTTTCTTTTTTTAATCTTTTGCTAAATGTTTTTCAATGAAGTGGTGTTTTGTCAACAAAATGTATCTGGCTCGTTCTTTCTCTGGACATGCTGACTAAGGGGCCCTCATATTTCACTGCTGTCCTTACCAGATTGCTCGTATGGTGACCTTGAGTCCGGGGGGTAATTCCTGAGTGAGGAACTCACAGTGGCAGCTCTTATCATCCCCAAAGTCTTCTCCCGGGAGACTGGCCTCTGCAGGAACAAGGGCACAGTCACCAAAAGCACAGCGCTGTCTCACTGCAGCGCACGAGCAGAAGCAAAGCACATTCAGTATCTCATATCCTTTGGCCTGGAAGGTGCACAATTGAATTACTGTGGGTTTCAAGCCAGTAAAACAGGTCCGCTCATGTGCGTTAGTGAACAAAGGAGAGACTTTAGTGCAGAATTGAGGGAAAGTGCTGATGGGAACAAGCTTTACCCAATACATTACTCCCTTCCTGGTATCAATTAGCTGGTATACTAGCATAGGAGCTACCTTGGACTAGCCCAGCATGAAGACTCGTTTACAGTTTTGGAAGCATAAACAGGCAAAAGTGTTAAAAGCTCATTAGTGGACATCTGTGACCTCAGTCGTGAAAGTGAGATGTCCCCATGCAAGGTGAAGCATCCTGTAGTCAGTTTGTCTTCAAAGATTCTCTTGTCACCACTTGACTTGAACCCACTGTTACTCAGCCCTCGGCTGTTTCATGATGCCAATGTCTACAGAGGTGGTTACACTGTATAATAAATGTTGATGTCGAATTGTATGTAAACATGTAACTCTTAAATCTATTATATCTATTTGTTTAGGTAATAACTATCATTAAAATACAACATTATCAAAATTCACTTTTCAATGAGTAGTATTTTGTTTACTTGGGAGGCTGCAGTTTTGCAATAATATTTTGAACAGTTTGTACAGAGCTGCCATAAATCAGTGTCCAGTAGGATTTCCATCTAAGGCCTATAGTTATTGGAGTAATCAGTCTTAATCATGTTAATACTGACAACCAATCAACCCACCTCAGTACAATGTTATACATGCTAATAATAATAATACTATATATATATATTTGTACACACTAAAGTAGGGTTCATGTCAAGGGAACAAATCTAGGCTGATTTCACACATGCATGTGTTCCAGACCAATGCAGCTGGCTCTAACTTCATTTCCCTCAAAGAAGCCAACCAACAATGTCTTACTTATTAAACCTTCAATTGCTGCAAAAGAAGAGAGAGGAGAGACATGGGAGAGATTTGTTATGGGGGCTAGCTGGATGAGAATGACAAATCAGTTCCAAACATGGCATCTGAGGACTCCACTAAAGGCAATATAGTTCATGTTTGAAAAAATGTGCTCTCCTCTGTTAAAGCTACTAAAATAAAATACACTATAAATGATTACAGGTAAATATATAGAGGTCATGTTATGGCTGGTCTAACCTGGTGAACTCTTCAGTCCAAAGTCTTCATCCTGCATTTCAACCAGCACTTTAACATGCCATGGAGCGGAGGAAGAAAGACAACTAATGAGAACTGGCTTTGGTCAAATGCAAAGAAAAAGAGAGAGATACAGATCTGGACACAGTGACACAATGACACACTGCCTGGTGATGTATGGATGCCTTTGTGCACATAAAGAATGCCTCATCACCTTCAGCACTGACCCACACACACATGAAAACCTCTCATCGTCATACTATTCATAATACCTTTGAGAGTACATCGCAACTATTGATAATTTGCAGTAACATCACGTTGGGGGTGGTCTGCAATGCTTTTCTATTGGCTGCATTTTCAGCAGTTTCCATGGTGACCCAATGCACACGTTAGCACACACAGATAAAAACGTTGAAAGACTGAAAACTGAAGAAAAATGCTAAATTGATTTAAACAAGACATTTTCAGGAGTCTGTGGTCATTATAAGCATTCATGGTCCTATTTAGGTGTTTGATTTTCAACAAAAAGGTGAGAGTGACTAATGATAGGTAGCGTGTCATGGTCAAATTGTGTTAAAATAAAGCTCAGATTGAGTTAGATTAAGTCTAACTTGAATAACAGAGCTTCTAACAGAGCAGTGCTTTCAGTTAGCATCACACCCTCAGGGAATATTGAGGACATCAGCTGCAAAGTATCAATAAGTGAGAATTAGACATGCGATTAGATCCACAAGAATGAGAGAAGACTAATTAATATTAATATTAGATTAATTCAGTTCACAATGTTTGCCTCACATTTTTAAATATATTGCTGCTGTCATTCTAGCACAGATTTTTTATTTGTCCAAGCAAAATGTGAAAAAATCTCACAAGATTATTGTCCACATTATACACATTTGTATAACAATCATAGACTGTCTATATGAATGGACATACCTAACATAATTGCAAATAGGAAGTGATCATGGAGACCGTCATGGCTCCTTCTGACCCTGGCCTCAGTTGACTTATATTGGAATATCCTCACCCCTCTCTCTGTAGCTGCTGCATTGCAATCGTCATTTATGTCTTAAAATGTTTGGAATAACCTGCTCTACATGATCCTGGGGTTATAATTTGGATATTTTCCGTGATTATATTCCTATACCTAATATGGCTCCAAATTTGCCCCTGTAATCACTAGCCTTGGTGATCGTCATTTGACTGGACCCAAACACGATGGGTGACGTCACACTCACTTTGTCCAAATTAAACAGATTAGTATGCTGTTATATTAAACCAGCTGATCCAAAATGTGCCTGACCTATTTTGTTGTTTATTGCCATTACAATCTGATCTACGTATGACATCCTCTTTCCCTTCAGTGTGCTCACCCTCAGAGTTTTGCCGTGAAGTACCCCTCACTCTGAACGCACTTTTAGCTCCTCGGCTCTTCTCGGTGAAGCTCCAGCTCTTGGTGACTTTACTGGGACTGGCTTCGGCGCCCTCTTCTGCCCCGGGGGAGGACACTTTCACTTTTACAACAGGAGCTTTCGACGGACTGGGAAACACCTTGTCCTTTATGCTGGGCTTGCGGCTACAGACAGTAAGCAAAAAACTGTTAATAACTTTCTTTCTGTGGATTTTTGAATGAGGCATGGGACAATAACAATTTAATAGTTAGAGGCAACAGTTGCTCAGTGGTTAGAGCCACCAACCCAAAGGACCAAGTTCTGCCATTAGATACTTTGCTTTGAATGAATGTGGTAGCTGTGTAATGATTGGTGGTGGGCAAAGGGGCTGACGGAGCAAATTGGCGATCTTGTTTACGTTTGTCTACCCCAGGGCAGTTGCGGAGTGAGCAAATAATGACTACAGGAAAGCGCTTTGAGAGGCATTATTCTTAGTTATACTGCAAAGTTTTCAAAGTGAGAGTGTTTTGCTAGTAAACAAAGAATTCAAAATGCATTAGTTAAAGGTTCCATATTACACACGTTTAACACACAAACCCTGCATATTTAGAGTACTTCTCTCAAACAGAAAATGCTTTGTTCCACCTTGTGCTGTCATGTGGTAATTATGGCTGGGTATCATTAAGTTGCCAATATATACCTTGATACATAGGCCACAATACGATACGTATCTCAATACAGTGAGCTTTTGGTGGATAAAATATATTTCAAAACAATTTGATACGGTTTAATTTATAAAAAAGACAAAATCATGGCTGTGATACTAAAAGTCTTTGTTAAACCACTTCTTGTGCAAAGTTCATATGAAACACAAACATTTTAATCATCACAACAGTGAAAATGTCAAATGTGTTGCATGAAGGAGTTTCCTTCCTTTAAACAAGGAACAAAACTGTAACGCTATAACAAAATAATTTAGTAAAATATACCAAAAAATACTCTTGGAGATCTATCGATACAGCAGTCCCCGATATCGATACTGTATCATCACATTAAATGATACAATATATTGATATTTCGATACCCCTAGTGGTAATAAATTAAATGCTCCACTGTGTTTTTAAACTGCATACACCTTCTCCAGAATCATCAAAATTTTTCCAGCCCTAGAATGGACTGAACTAAAGGTAATAGTAACTCCTAACATAAAAACTACTGCTTCATGGCATCACAAGGTGGAACAGAGCATTTTGAGCTTTGGAGATGTAGACAAACTAATAATAAGGGTTACTCGCATGTGTGGATGTAACTAAACACAACTTCAGGTGTGTTTTTGATGATTTAACAATATTATAACATGGCTTATAGCTCACAGGAGTCAATTTTGCATAATATAGCACCTTTCATGGAAACCTAAGACAGTAATTTGAAGCATAAATGCACAAATTAATAAATAATTAATAAATGTAAAATCTACAGTCACTTTAAATCACTAGGAAACAGTCAGGAATTCTATCTTAGAAGATGTTGAATGTCTTGAAATCTTACAACACTGTCATATTGTCCCATGCCGGATTACAGTTCCTCATGTGGTGTGTGGTGGGGGTGAAGCTTACCTGAGCTGCAATGCAAACTGTCCTAGAGCAGAGGGTGCCATGTCCCCATAGAAACACATTCACTGGTTCAGGTAAGCAGCAGGAAGCGTACAAGCGAGCATGCATGGGGACGTAAAGTGACCGCACATCTCCAAAAAACAAGAACAAAACAGTGAACACAAACCGTGCAAACAGAAGAACTGTACGGTCCATCTGAAACGCTCTAGGTTAGGTTAGGTATCTGCTATGTGCACCTTTCCCTGCTGAACACAAGATTTCAAAAATGCTGATTAGGCAAATGGCGGCAAGCAAATCAACAGCATAAAGACATTACTAAACAGAAACCATAAATCAACTTTGACAGGGCGGAAAGAAGCTTCTATATCTGCATTGTGTGAAGAAAGTAAGAAAAAAACGTCTAGAATCCCTCCGGACACTGATAAAGAATACAGGGGTACAGATTGAATTCAAAGTATTAATTGAAAACTGTATTTGTAAAGGAAAGAGAAAACTGAAAGTCGGGATGGGGGAAGCACATAGACTTGCAGTGCAGTTAGTGACTGTGCAGCACGGTACCTAATGTTTCTTGGACAGCACCCGCAAAGAGTGTCTTTATGTGCACTTTCACTACTGCAGTGGTGGCATAGGGGGAGACACAGAGAGATCAGATAGCAGTGGATACAGTAACAACAGCAGTGTGCCAGTCAGTAACACTTTATTATAACTTTCCTTCCTGTCTATATGCGTTATATATATTTACATCGGTGGTGGGGAGTAACTGGTCATGAGAGTACTACATTGCATTGATTATCATGAAAAATCACTTCAAGTAAATAAATATTGGTATCTATAATATCATTTGAATATTAAAAACATGCGCAGCCTGTTTTATTGTTATAATTGCTCCTAGTTAGGCCTGCATAATAACACATTTTGAAGCACAATATATAGCTAAAGAAATTATAGATGAACAATAAAACTAATTCATGCCACTTACACAGTAACGAAAAGCAGATATAAACCACAAAAACTATTCTGAATCTACAATACTGAAATAAAATTACAATTGTTGGATGCTTGGGTGTATCAACTAACACACAATGATAAATATGTAATTCAAAATGTAAAGACTATTTTAAATGAATGGGTGATTCTATTGTATTCTTTTACTTCTACTTGACTTCCATTTCTGTAGCTTACCTTTTCGGTCCCTCCATTCTAATGTTTGTGAAAGACAAAGTCATGATAAAATGTTACAACAGTTTCACGTGTTTCTTTGCTCAAAACAGTGACAGAAGCAAAGCGTGTGTCCATATTCACTTCTCCCCAGGGTGCCGCTAGCAGCTATAGCCTCAAAGAACAGCGCATGGTGAATATTTGATAAAGATGTGGGTTGGAGTGAAGCCAGAGTGCGCTGATCTTTGAGTGTGTCAGCGAAAGCAGCATGACTGACTGTTCTTGAAAGAGGCGCACATCCATGTCTGACATACTGACACACTTCCTGGTTATCCGCACTGTGTTTACCGTAAGCACCATGCCCAAACACACACGCACACATGCCACAGACGCTCCCCCAAGAACAGCAGCGCTGAGAGCAGAGCTGAACCCAAGCCAAAGAGCTGGAGAGAAATATGAGCCAATCAGGTTACAGACCTGGGAGAGGTGTCCGTTGGAGCCTCCTTCCTGCAACACACAGCAGTGCAGTTATTATACAACATGTCTACTGCACATGCAGAGATCAGGCAGCATCGATTCAATCATACAAGTATAATATTACTGCTTGTGTTAGAGTTTTTTTAACATATTGCACCGACATACAGTGCTGATCAGAGCAGACTGACTGGATTGCTGGGAAACTGCAGTGAAAAAAATTGTTAAAATAAATTTTCAGTTTGCGCAACCATTTACCATTTAGTCATGCTGTATAACTGTTGTATAACTACCCCAGTGATTAATTGGAATAATTGAGATTAATCGACTGTTAAAAGTGATGTTGCAATTCTGCAAGAGTGGGATTTACAGGGTTATAATTAATGTTAGCTATTTAAATCAATGACCAAGGAGAAATTCAGTTTGTCAACTGGACAAAAGTGTTTTGGTCGAATACATTTCACAGCTCATCCAAGCTGCTTCTTCAGTTCTGGTCGGACGCTAGTGAACGCTTCCTTATATCTGTCTGAAGGGAGGAGCTAACTACACTGACACTACTCTGAAACCAACAAACCTACTTGTTTACAGTTTGTTTGTTAGGTCTATTGAACTGCACTAAATGGGGACTGTGCCTGAGTCACAGGGGGTTTGAAGTAAAAGAAAATATATATTATAGGACTTGTAAGAAATGCTTAAATATTTTAGGCATCATTTATAATATTTGTACTCACTAGTTTCAGGCTATTTAAGTTGTATGTAAGATATGAAATATAAATTATGCTTCCACTCCTCACATCTTCATTGTTGTATTTTAGTGCTTCTGCAGAGCCTCCACAGTCAGTGATTTTGCTGCTTGTGCGTTAACGAGAGCAATTAGCTGAACTCAGTGTGCCTCTCCTCACAACTGCAGTGCAAGAGCAATGATAACACTCTATTCTAATTTCATATTGCTCCTAATGCAAACAATCATAAATCATCAGTGATATGATCTGCCCTTTTCCTAATTGCCATAGCACCTCTCTAAGCATTCTAATCAATTCTGTTTTTCAGAAAGTAAAAAGATGATGTAGCTTAAATATTACTTAAATATAACTATTTATGTACCACCATAAGCCTTAATGTTTTACCAGCCTCATGCACATCCTGGTACCAGAGCCCTACCTGAAGGTCTTGCCTTTCAGATTGCGCAGCAGGTCCAGCTGGTTCAGAGGAGGGATTATCCTGCTTAAGAGCAAAGAGCATGTCACCATTCAAAGGTTAAATCTCGCTAACAGTGATTCACAATTAGCTCTGGCACTCGTCTGCTAACCACTGCCCTTTCAGCAAAGAGAAGCTGGGGAGAGGTGATTTGCTACTTTGAGACACATAAAGAAGACGAACGTAGAGCAGACCTTGAAGGCCAAGTCTAGTGATGCTGCTGAATCACAGATCTGGACTGTTGTTAATTAGGAAAGTAAATACTGGAAATTTTCCACTAAACTCCCTTGAACAGTTTTGGTGCCATTGCCAAAAAAAACTGATGAAAAGGTATGACAAATGAACTTTTATAGATGCTTAGATAATGTTTTTGAGGATTTAATAAACAGCACTTTTTTTGTTGGTTCCAATTTTCTTGGCTCCTCTAGTTTAGAAGCGAAAGCAGAATCTGATATGAAAAAATATTGACTGTGCAGAGCAATATTTGAATGGCCCACCTGTACATGGGGACGGCTACAGTCTGCTCATAAAAATCCCACGTGCACAGCAGATCCGTGCGAGAAAGGTTGGTGGCATAAAACCTCCAAGCACCCTGGAGGAAGAGAGGCAATAAAGAATATCTCTTTAACAACTTACCAGTGTTAAATATTTGTCTGACAGATAGCCTCAGTTGTGTATATTAGGTTATATAATACAACAATTAAATAAAGGATTTTAACTTTTAATTAATATGTTTGCCTAATATATGTATTTCAGGACTAATCCTATTTTGAATAATTCTGAATGGATTTTTTGCAGACCATTTATAGTACACGTTAATACTGCATAATGCACAAATAGTCCGGCAAAGGTTAAATAAATCACATTCTACATCACTACTCTGCCGACATTACCAGAGTAATGGGTAAACAAATGTTCAGAATGAGCAGAATGTACGGACTAGATTAATTTAAAACCCATAAATGGCTCATCTTTTGGACATTTACAGACAGTGAACAGGCTTTCCAGACTCACAAGACAAAACTGCGCATGGCTTCTCGTTTAATGCTTACATACATTTGTGATACATTTTTCTTGTTTATATTGCCAGTCAAAAAAGTTTCAATCACTAAAACTGAAGAGGCAAAAACATGTTGCAATCTTGGCCAAAAATTAATTGAAAACTTAACAGGTTAAGAGAGATTTTTTGCAGAAGAGCCTTGGTTTTCTAATAGGACTTTTTTTTCTATACAACCAGGGTCAGTGTTTTTCTTTTTTGTTAGTGACTGTGTTGAGTGAAGTCAGAGTCTACCTCCAAGGTTTCAGTCTGTATGTGTCATATTTTTGAGCTTTAACAATGTCGTCTTCAATAAAAATGCCTCTAGCTGTACAACAGGAGTCCAACAAGCATTCAAGATCAATAGTCCCCAAACAGCTGGAGGCTAATCCTGTACCCCCAGAATACTCTGTCTTATCTATCAGAGGGAACAGGATGGTGACTAGTTGTTTGTAATTTTTAAAGTTGCATGTTAGCTCTGGTTTATGGTACATACCTGAATAAGGCTGGCAGCGGGGTTTCGTCTCTTCTCAAAATGCTTCTGTCTGTGTTGCTCTTGCACTTTCAGGGCAAAACCTGAACCCAAGATGCCCTGCAAGTGCAAATATGTCAATTAAGAGTAACTATTATTAAACAGGGCTGAGCCTTGTTAGTACTTAAATGGGAGACATAGGGAATTCCAGGTGCCACAGTGGAATGCCAGTGGCAAACCTGTCATGCCCCAGGGCAGCTGTGGGTAAGATAGTAGCTTACCATCACCGAGTGTGAAGAGAAAAGTGCTGTGTTCAACTAATGCATTACTATTATATAAACCAACAGCAATTTAGAGTTAGACAAACTTTATTGATCCACAAGGGAAATTACTTGGACAGGATCAGCATTCTAGTACACTTTTTCTAGTGTGTGTGTGTGTGTGTGTGTGTGTGTGTGTGTGTGTGTGTGTGTATGTGTGTGTGTGTGTGTGTGTGTGTGTGTGCGCATGTGCGTGTGTGTGCGTGTGTGTGTTTGTGTGCTGTTCTTCTACTGTTAAAGTTGCAAAGTAAAGTAAAAAGTAAATTTCTTGCCCACCGTGTGCTGATACAGTTGTATGTATGAGAGATTGCTGACGTCTGATGGAGGTGTGCTCAAATTTCTGGTGATGTGTTTTACATCTAAGGCGTGACACAAACATCAGCAAATACAAGTAACCTGCCCCAGAAGGAGATATTTCACTCTGACCTGTAGTGTTTCTACTGTTCAAACAGAGACAGTATGCTGCCACACTGTCTGAACACACATTTACCACCACCATCTTCTGGATGGTGCACCTACTCTGTGCCAGCTGTTACTTTACTTTTACTTGTCATTTGTAACAGTAGATGAAGCTTCAAAGTCAAAGTAGCCATCTGGAGTTCTACTATATCACCCTGAGACTCATTAAAGAGAGCTTGTGACGGAAAGTTTAACTTTTTCATTAAAGATTTTTTTTTCTAAACGTTCTTGCAAAAACACCACTATGATAACTGAAATAGAATTACAAATCACATATCTGTAAAACGGCAGAAAAGAGCTAAGGTACTGTTTAAAATGATGACAATAATGCTCGGTGACTTACTGCAGGAAGAGCAAAAAAGGCCACTCCGATCATACTGAATGCGGCTCCCAGCATACGGCCATTCCAAGTCTGTGGAACCTTATCTCCATAACCGATAGTGGTCAGAGTGATCTGTGGAGAGAACAGGCACAAACTCGATTACATTATGAACTGAACTGTGAAAATCAAACTAGCTTAGCTTATAATCAAAGTAAAAAATAAATGGGTCTACGCAGCATAAAAAGTATTCCTTGTACCAGTGACTTATAGTTTGTAGTCTTTGTATTCACACTCATTGTGGTTTGGTCTTGGGTTGAGCCCAGATTAGTCCTAATTAGGGTGACCAGATTTTTAAAATTAAAAACTGGGACACCCCCAGGTTGGGACGGTTGGTATAAATAAAATAGTGAAAAGAGTGTGTGACATTCTCAACTTATTTGTGGGTCACTCATAACCTGAGGGACTTTTGTTGGTGCATTTTTTTGCCTTATGGCCATTGTCAAGTAAGGTTTTCTGTATTTTAGTTAAACAAATGACAGTGTATATACCCCTCTTTACTTTTGTCAGGTATCAAATTGGTCAAAAATAAGGACACCTGAGACATTTCTTGTCTAAAACCAGGACAAATCACTGGTTTTGGATAAATCTGCTGGGACAGGGAACATGGCGCTCCAAACTCGGACTCGGGTAAATAGGGACTTCTTGTCACCCTAGTCTTGATGCTGGCTGCTGGTCTAGTCATGGTTTAGCTCCACATATACTCTCTAAATACGGTCTTTCGTTGTGTAAATATTGCTCTGAATGTATTTCTAAACTCACACCTGTTGCATTTTTGGAGCTCCGTATTGTTTGTACAAACTTTCTAAGCACGATATAATACAATGTTTACAAAGAAGCTCATTCTCCAAGAGGCTCCTATAGCTCTGTTCAAATGGTGTGAGAAGCACGACTACAGTCACCTCATACTCCATACAACTCTACAACAACTCAGACTTATGTAACAGATAACCTTCATGACAATCACTATTCCATAATTTGAATGCCCTTTGTGTCTTACCAATCCCCACCACAGAGCATCAGCGTAGGTCTCAAAGTCCTTGTTAGACTCCTTCTCCACTGAATACACCAAGAATGAGGCCAGGATGAGGCAGAGGAAGCCAATGTACCAGGCGGTGATCAGCTCCTGTTGAGACACACACACTAACACAGTCATAAAGTGCCCTCACTGTCGTCATGTGACCTCAGGGAGCAGATAAAATGTCTCCTCTGTAATATTATTGGGCTAGGTGATGTCATTGTCATGCCCTGTTTGGTTGAGAATCTTTCATAACCGTCTTTATTTCCCAGGGCCCCTCACGTGATCTTCTCCCAACACCCCGCCTCTCATATCAGTGAACCCGGCAGGAACACTTGCAGCTTGTTAGTGAGGAGCGAAATCTATTTTGAACCTCATTAGGACAAACTGGGGGATTTGTTTTCCACTTAATTCTCACCAATTTAGCTGCCTCTGTCTGCAAACAGGCAAACATTTATTTAGACGGATTTGATTATTAACTCGGGATAGGTTATGTTCACGATATCATGACCTTCACATATTTTTTTACAACTTCAGGACAGAATTTAAAGGAAGAGAGATTAGAAATGGGTTGTTACAGTTAAAAAAAAAAAAAAGTTAAACCAATGGAGGAAAAAAATACCAAATAGTAAACGTAGTGCTCATTAAAGTGGAGCTAAACAGTGAACAGTCAACATTTTTTGCTACTGTGTATATAGTGTTTTAATATTATCGTCTACTGTTCCATAAATCTACAGCTTTCTGGTCAAAAACATGCTTATGGATGGAGTTTAGTAGCCAGGCTGGTTCCAGCTAGTTTCTCCGCTCAATTTTATTTCTCTCCAGCGACTAGGTCAGGAATCGGATCACAATACACAAGACCCTGGAAGTGCAAGTTCGGGAACCAGTCAATCAGAGAAGAGCCATATAATCCGTGTTGGTAACAATTCCCGAGATCAAATATTTAAAGTCGGAACAAAGAGAATGTTTGGGGAATTTTATCAAGGGAAAGATATTATTGCCCTTATTTCCTACAGGATTTGGGAAAAGCTTAATATACCAGTTAGCCTCGTTAGCGGCGCATTACATACGTCACGACCAAATAGCAGTGATTGGTTAAATGAAAAAAGTACCTGCCTACCATTGAGCGAACGAATTCTAACGCTACAAGGTCAGATGTTTTCTATGAAGTGAAAATGGCTGATGAACCAGGCTAAGAGTTTAGGTGTTTAGTCCAAATTTAGGAAGTATTCTGACTCTATGAAGTTATGTATTTAGCAGTAGGTAATCAAGCTGTTACATGGTCCTGTTGTTAAATTGTTTTAATGTTTTGCCCAACGCATCTTGATGTCTGACAGATTTGGCCAGTAATGTAAAATTTTGACATTTGATCTCAAGAGCTTTACAAATCCATTGTAAACAGTGAATATGATAAATGCAACACCTAGATATTTCAGCGTATTTCAGAAAGATGGTCTAGGAAGTGGCAAACGACAGTACAATAAAACCACTACATTACTCATACAAACTAATAAACAGTGAATACACCGAAATATGCAGAGCCATCAAATAGTCATTAATCAAAGCAGCTTCCACGCTCACCTTACTGTGCGCATAGACCACAGAGCCCAGCAGTTTCCAGGTGCCTCCTCTCCGGTCCATCCGCAGCATACGCAGGATCTGTAAGAACCTCAAACTCCTGATGGCGGAGGTGGCAAAGACGTTCCCCTGAGAGCCAGCGGCCAGCACAGACACCGAAGCAATCAGTACCATGATGTCTGTAAAGATTGTACAAGGATTTAGTTAGAATTAAGATGTGCGCAAGAGAGAGTCACACAATGGGGAAAATGTACTTTGAGCTACTGCATTGACAGATGACTGAGAGATTCCATACACTTTGTAATCTGTGTTCATTATAATCATTTTCAGATTTAGCAAGCATTTAAAATCACTCAATTACTGTGCAGTGCAACTCCCTGGGAGCATCAGTTAGGGCTTGGTGAGCAGTAAAGATATATATACTAAACTACATTTTCTAGTGATGAGTCTGCCACCTTGAAGATATTATCACTTTGCATGAAACATTGCAAGTATGGTATTCAGCTTATTCTGTCTGGCTTTTATTTATTTTGTTTGATTGCTCAAAAATACCTTAAAAACATGGGAAATACATGGTCACCTCTCCACAGATCTAATTTGGCCTGGTGGTGTTACCTTTTTGCCCCCTTAGGGATGATAATTATGTTTAATATCAAACTGTGTCCAGGCAAAATAATGTATCCTTGACGAGAAAAGTTACATAGTGTACTTTTAAGTATAAACAATGATGTCCCTGTGGTATGGTACTGTATATCTACTGTACTTTCTTGTAAATGATCTTATTACACAAGCATAGTGTAATTTAAAGAGTTGTGTTACCAAAGTGTGAATCTGAGACAGTTATGTGATATGCAAGTCTTGCTGCCTGTAGTAAATCAGTATTGCTACCTTATAATTCATATAATGCTCAACCAAATAAGATATGGATGCGCCTAGAGACTCCAGTCTGTCTTCTGCGTTGTTCTGTCCGTCATTTGGTCTCTCTCCTCTGAACATGCAATGGAGCAGTACATGAGCTGGCCACTGGGGGCAGCAGTGATCACAGCGCTAGAAGCTAAACTTATAAAAAATAGTGACTAGAACCAGCTACAGAACAAATAAATGCTTCTCTCATCTTGTTTTCGTGGTTCTTTTCCAATAGATGTGATCTAAAAACTGTTGTGGGTGCTTCCATGTTTGTTTATTTGTTGTTCTATTTTGTCTGTTTTGGTCCATTTTCAAACTGACTTTTAATGCTGTCTAGTGGTTGTTTAGGAGAATGCAGTCTTGACATTAGAAACATTTTGGAACTAAATATAATATAAATGCAGTGGCAGTTACTACGCTTGGAGCTCACAGATCTGTTCATGTACAAAAGAGGAGCATAGAGCATAAAAGATAGAAAAAACTAAGCATTTGAGACAAAAACATGCAGCATTTAAAGGGATGATACAGAGTAATTTCAACCTAGGATCCTTTGCACCATGACCTCTACGTTACATCTATAGTCAACTGCTGCTGGATAACAGGTTGGGTGTAACTGATGACCAAATTGGGAGAAACTGAGATAAATTCTGATGTAAATTGATGATAAAAGAAATGAGGGAACATAGGGCCTAATATTGGACAGAAAAACAAAAAACTTAGAAATGAAGGAACCTAAGGCTAAGGCATGCTCCCCAAAACACAAGGTGAAGCAATGACAGCCATACCATCTTTAGCCAATTTTTCTTTCTCACCTATGACACAAAAAGGCTTTCTGGCAAATTTGAGCCTGCCCCTCCATCCTCTGTAGCGACAGCAGCAGCCAGCGGCCCATATCCTGACGATGTATTCCACCCCAAACACTATGATGGTCACGATTTCCTATAAACACATAATATTCACACAGGATTATAAACATTTAAAGGGCCTATATTATGCAAATATTGATCTTTGTTATAGTTTAGTCTAGTTTATTTATTTAATGAGACAGGGACAGTGCACAATATACATTAACCTTAATAGGAGAGATGCTTTGTACCAGGTTATAGCACCAGTGCTAATTTATAACTATTATTATATCCACATCAAAAACATCCCTGGAGTTGTGTTTTGTTTCTTCCATAAATGTTTAACACACAAATCCTGCATCATTAGGCTGTGTACTTCTCTCAAACAGAAAACAAGCACCTAGTGATGTCATCAAGTGGTAATACAGGAAGTGTTCCACATTGTTTTTAAACTACACACCTTCACTATACAGTTAACAGTGATTGATCACAGAATAGACTGGACTTTGGCCTTGGAGCGGAGTACGGATAACATCTCTGAGAGACTTGAAGCTTTACAAAGGGTGATGTGCAGACCTTGAAACCAAGAGACACTCAGAGCTGTTGTGAAAAGAGTGCTGCTGGCTCAACCCAAAACCAAAACATGATGAATCTTATCTATTGGCCTCCCCCAGCCAACGTCGGCCTGGCAAGGTCGCCTGGTTCCTACTCGCCCAGGAGAGACTTGAGCAGGAGGGGGGCTCTCTCCTCCCCAAATTTCTCTACACCCTCGCAGCTTTTGCCCCACCCAGAATTGGCAGGCAGGTCTGTTGTATCCAGCGCCCCCTGGCTGCAGGATCTAGAGGCTGTATATCTATATTTTGGGGTCAACTCCAATTCCCTCTCCTCCCCAGTTGCTAGTCTTGTCCTTATTGTCTGTACTGCGTTTTTGTTGTATGTGCTGAGGTTGCAGAGGGGTTTCTTCCTTTTTTCTCTTTATGTACTGGTTCCAGATAGTTAGTGTCCCAGATTCCAGACAGTTAGTATACATTTCCAGATTTTAGATATTTAGTTGTAAAGAAGATAGCTATGTCAGAGTCCAGATAGTAGTCATTCTAACATGACTACAAGCTACAAGAGTCAATTTTGTGTAATATAAGGCCTTTAATATATAATGAGACATAATAGCACATAACAGGGGTGTAATGTGTAAACCTACCAGGATGTACAAGGCACTCTCTGAATTGTCTTTGAACTCCCGGATAGTGGCGAACACAGAGAGGATGAGACAGGAGAAGACCAGGAGGAAGCTGTAACATACAACAAAAGAGACACCATTTAAATAGCACTATACACTGTGGTTTCATAATACATCTGATACAAAGGATCATGTTTCTCAGGCATATGCATCTAAAGCAATTATAAGTGCTTTTACTCCGAGGCCCAATGCTTTTCCAATCTGTACACACACCATCGAGATACTAGCTTTTCGTATAATGTTTGTTTACTGCCACAGCACAAGGATCAGACCACTCATCTATTGACAGAGCAGTCAGATGGAACTCAAATCTGACATTACAATGCAAAGCAGATCTTCACCCTTTTCACATTTTGACATTTTTAAAGGGCTCATATTACGCCATTTTCTGAGCTGTGTCATACTGTTATCTCATCAAAAACAGACCTTGAGTTGGTTTTTGTTTCATTCACACATGTTTAACACACAAATCCTGCATATTTAGGCTGAGTTCTTCTCTCAAACTAAAAAACACTCTATTCCATGTTGTAATGTCATGTGGTAATACAGGAAGCGCTTCATTGTGTTTTTAAACTTCATACACCTTCACTAAAACCATCTGGATAATTTCAGACCTGGAAATACCAATCTTTACTAAACTAAAGGTAAATGGTAGCTGGTAACTTGGAAACTATCACTGCGTAACATCACATTGAACAGATCATTTTGAGCTTTAGAGATGCAGAATGTTAATGATAAAGAACTACTCAAAGATGTGTTAATGAAACAAAACACAACTCCATTGATGTGGTAACATTATTGTCACAATTTAAAAGGAGAGGACCAATGCAGGACTGCTCTTCAGTTGTTTTATTCAACAAAACCAAAGACCAGAAGAAACTAAATTCAAAAATCCAAAATAGAAATTACAATAGACATGATACTGACAATGGTCATGAGCTCTGGGTAATGACCGAAAGGACGAGATCGCGGATACAAGAGCTCGAAATGAGTTTCCTTCGCAGGGTGGCTGGGCACTTCCTTAGAGATTGGGTGAGGAGCTCAGTCACACGGGAGGAGCTCGGAGTAGAGCCGCTGCTCCTCCACGTCGAGAGGAGCCAGCTGAGGTGGCTCGGGCATCTGTTCCGGATGCCTCCTGGGCGCCTCCCTCGGGAGGTGTTCCGGGCATGTTCCACCGGGAGGAGGCCCCGGGGAAGACCCAGGACACGCTGGAGGGACTATGTCTCTCGGCTGGCCTGGGAACGCCTCGGGGTTCCCCCGGAGGAGCTGGAGGACGTGTCTGGGGTGAAGGAAGTTTGGGAGTCCCTGGTTAGACTGCTGCCCCCACGATCCGGCCCCGGATAAGCGGAAGAAAATGGATGGATGGATGGATGATACTGACAATCACAATGAACCAACAAAGGGCAGAGGAGAAGCACACAACCTGCATTCAGTTAGCAGTGCGACACGGCCCTTTTCCTGGGATGGCGCAACTCGGAACTCAGTGGTAGAAAAAGTAGACCGAGCAAGGATTCTGAGTTAGAATCCAAGCCTACTGTGATGTCTAAATATGAAGTGTTTCCATTGTGTTTGGACACTTTGGTGGTTTAAATGACCACCAAAGTGAATGTTTCAGTCACTCGTATTACTGCAATACCTTACCACATCCATACCTCTGCTTATGGGTTTGGCAGCCGGTGTTGTAGTGAGGCTACATGCTACTCTCCGAGTCTGACACGCGAAACATAATAATACACCTCAAGCTCGGACATGATATCAAATCCAAGGTCCAAGTGGGAGTCGGAAGATAATTGAATGCAGTGACAAATACAGGTGTAACACATTAGGGCAGGGCAACAATCAACAGATAGGAAATAAAACTCTAAACTAGAAGCAGACAGGACAAATGTCAAAATAAAACACCAAGCGCACATAACACTTCAGGAAAAAGATACACCAAAATAAGCAAAAACAACCAGTACAAAACATGAACCTTAACAATTCTAACTTGTCTTGAAGCTCACAAAAGTCAATTTTGAGTAAAACAGGACCTGTAAATAAACTGCATTTTTGGGCAATGTGTAAAATATTGATATCTTTTTTATATGCTATTCAAATTTATGAAGAAGTTATACAGAACAAAATCTCCTGTTTTGTGCAATCACATCTAAAAATGCACCAGTGACATTCACACCTGGCATTTATACTAGCTGGTACTGCCAGGTCTGAACTGAAAAGTATGGAGGTGGCTTCAACAAACAGCCCAGTATTATAAAAGCATCATTTATACACTATTAGCATATTAAGAATTATAAAGAGAGTTATGGTAGTGTCTCAAGAAAAAAAAAAAACACACACACACACGGAACTGTCACAATAAACACTACATCCACTTATCATTCAAAATATTATAAATGGAACAATCATTTTTGGGGGTCTATATTTATCGTGGGGACTTTGTCTTTTTGCAATATGATAAGACTTGAGCTGTAGAAAGTTGAATTATGAACTAAAATTACACAAATGGACTTAGATATTTTCTTTATTTCTGTTTGGTTTCAATATTATCTGTCATCATATATATTCACTGCAATATATCAGACTTCAAAATTTGTTATCTTATCTTTACAGACCTACTCACACATTTCTATACAAACTAGTGAACTCCATTAGATTGAAAGCCTATTGATGCAGTGTTATATGCTGGTATTGTGTTACCAGAACTCATTAGACTTTAGTAACAACAATTACTTCACTCCACAGAGTAATGTTTATGTTGAAAGGAGAGAGGCACTTTTCACTTATATTATGGGTGACATCTCAAATTCAGAATCAAATTATGATCTCATTCATGTGACGATATGCTGCATTTATGATGTTGTCAGATCATGATTCAGAGTTTTCCCCATCTACTCCTCCTGTTGGTCAATCTAAAACTGTGAGTGAGTGATAGATGGAATTAACCAATCAAGTATGAACTCTGAAAAAAAAAAGATGACTTTATTTACTGTATAAGAATACAAAGTGTAAACAAATATTAACAAAATCATAATCTGGCTCCAAAAAAATAGTGATATGTATTTCTTTTTTGGTAGATTTTCAGTACTATGTCTTCTATCAAGAACAAGCACATGCTCAGACGCTCCCAGAGGTCTTCAGTTTTTTTCTTCTGGTGAGCTACCTTTACAAAACGAAAATGCCAAAGGGCTACAAATTTTTGTGGTCAAAGAAATTGAACAAGCAGAACAGTTAGATACAAGGGCAGACTGGGACCAAAAAACAGCCCTGGACTTTTCTCCCACCATTCAGTTAAATATTAAAACTTGAAGAAGCCGTTCTGGACTTTTACAGAACATACATACAGATTGCCAGTCTGCCCCTGGTTAAATACCTATAAAACATAAACCTTATTTCATTTTATTAGTGCATGGGGCATCAAAATGATAAATTTACAATGGTAGTTCATCAAATTTGAGTCATTCAGCACAATACATATAATTCAGAAATCCATTGGCAAGATAATTGGAAGGGGGTGGAGAGCTACTCGTAGCTCCTGAGCTACAGATTGAAGACCCCTGCTTTACACAGACCTGCTGCCTCACAACATGAACCCTGCCTAAACCTCTTTTCAAGTTGCGTGTCTGTACATTGTATGAAGATTTTGACCAACTTAGACGGAAATATTAAAAGGTCCATATGATGCTCTTTTCTGATTTATATAACAAACATACCTGTTGCGTTTTATTTCATTCGCATGATTAACACACAAATCCTGCATATTTAGCCTGAGTCCTCTCAAATGGAAAACACTCCACCTTGTTCTGCCTTGTGATGTCATGTGGTAATACAGGAAGTGCTCCTCTGTGTTTTTAAACTCCATAAACCTTCATTAGAATCATTTGGATAATTTCAGCCCTGGTATGTCCAATGTCTACTGAACAAAGGCTTAAAAAAGCATTGAGCTTTCGGAGATGTAGACAGACTAATAATGTGAGATTACTCAAACATAAGTGAATGAACCAAATCACACCCCTAGGTATGCTTCTGATGAGGTACAAGGACATTCTATACATAGCTTAAAGCTCACAAGAATCAATTTTGCGTAATATATGACTTTTAAAAAAGAACATTAAAAATTTACATCATTGGCCTCCCCTTATACTAATAGAAGTTTACAAGATCCTGCTAATGGCTTTATGGTTAGCTTTGTCCTCACTTAAACAGCTATAGGTGGTTTAACATCTGCACTTTCTCTGGAATTGACATAATTTCATAGCAAGAGGTTCTGGCTGCCTCTTTACAGGATGGTGGGCAGATATAAAGGAAATGTAAAGTTCAGACGCCTGGGAGCATTAGACCAGCCATGCATTGGGCGCACAGATTATGGATGTGAAGCGAGAAGGGGCAGAGGGACAACTCAGCCGGACGGGGCTCTCAAACCTCTGCTGAGGAATCCCAGAGCAGAACTACTGAAACATAACACTGTGATAATGCAGGATTAGAAGAAAAGCAGTTCACATAGATCACAGTAAAGATAGCATGGAGCGACGGCCAGGCAGACTTGGCAGTATCAGATGGGAAAGCTAACACTGTGCTGTGCTAATGCCATTTGCAATTACTGGCTAAAGGGCTGGAAAAGACACACTTACATTTTGTGTTAAGAAAATTATGGTTGAACATGAATCACTGTTCACAGCAACTCACATCCTGCTTTTTATCAAATTATTTTTTTCTTATCTTAGATCAGCTCTTCACAGTTGTGTTAGTTGTAATATTGAGTTTCACTCGAGTGGATGTTGAAACCTGGTCTTATAAAGTACACAAGTGGGTAGAGAAGACAAAAAAATGTACTAAAGTAGGAGTAAGTAGAGGTCCAAGAAAATGTGGCTGTTGGGACATAACATCCGACATATAATTTAAAGTTGATGTAAATGGAAGATGAAAATAAAGCAAAATGCACAAAATCTAGTATTATATGATCTGGATAGACACAAAATCTTATCTGAAGGAGCAATGCAGTACTGTTGAGTACTGTTACTTCAATAACATTAAAGTATGCTGCTAGAAAAGTAC